TGATTCCAGAGTGTTCCGCGTATTAGAGAAAGGCATCTGTTGGAAAATGGACATTCAAGCAAGTTTGCCTGCACAGACACACAGAATGACTGGGAAAGCCCTGACAGGTTACTTACTGGTAAATGAGGTGAGAACCCAATTGCTGCCTCTTTTTCACTTTAAAAACATTTAAATCTTGAATTGTGGTAAAATACACATAAGATTTACTATTGTAACCATTCATATACAGTTCAGTAGTGTTAAGTATATTCACATTGCTAAGGAACCAATCTGCTACTTTTATTTATTAATTTTTTCTGAGGGAATTATTTTTATATTTTAAAATATTTAATTGACAAAAATTATGCATATTCTAGGTGTAAAATATGATTTTCTATATATGTACATTGTATACTCATTACCACAGCCAAAGAAATTAACACATTTCTTTGTGCATGTGTTTGTGTATGTGTGCACGTGTGTGCCTGTGTTTATGTGTATGTGTATACATGTGTGTATTTGTGAGTGCCTGTGTGTCTATGTGCATGCATATATGTGTGTGTGTCTGTGTGCACAGGTGTGCCTGTATGTGTGTACGTGTGTGCATGTATGTATATGTGTGTCTGTGCACAGGTGTGCCTGTTTATGTGTTTGTTCATGTGTGTACATGTGTGCATATGTGTGTAGTTGTGTGTGCACAGGTGTGTATAGGTGTGCCTGTGTGCATGTGCACAGGTGTGTGTGTGCCTGTGTGTATGTCCACATGTGTATATGTGTATTTGTGTACAGATGTGTATGTGTGTACATGTGTGTGCACAGGTGCCTGTGTATGTGTGCATGTGTGTGTGTGTGTGTGTGTGTGTGTATGCATGTGCAGGGGGTATGTGTGTGCACAAGTGTGTTTATGTGTGCCTGTGTGTAGTGGGGACACTAAAAATTTCTCTTATCACCAAAGAATAGTTATTTTGTTTTCCCTCTTCCATTTTGAAATATCAGAACAGTCATAATTTCCCATAGACAAAATCCTCAATCCTCACCATCCTTCTATTTCCTATATTCATCATAAGCTTCATGCTTGGTGTTGAAATTGTTTTCTGCAAATAGAGAATACAAAGAGGAGATTTTAAAAGTCAATGGCAGCCCCACAGTTCTTTCTCATCTGATTTTCTGATACCTTGAGTTGACTTGGGTGTAGGGTTTTCCTTGACTGTGCTTATTTCTGTAGCAGCAGCTCCAGATTGTGCAATGGTTTTCTTCAGAGATAGCTTAGAATGAGCCCCAGAACAAGGTCAACGTGAAGATTGCTTGTGTCTGCGCTTCCAGGGCACAGTGATCCTCATCACTGGCTGGGGGCTCCGTGAGGATCTGCTCCTGGTTGTTTCTGTTCTGTATCTTCCTTGGGGCCTTTACTGAAGCAATTACCAACTGGCGCAATTTGATTGCTACTATCCCTATCATCCACAGATGGCGGAAATACTGAGAACACAGCAGTGACCAGGAGGCAGTAGTCTGTCCACATCTAAGAACACACTTGGATAAATCACAGAGAGAGACAGAGAGAGAGAGAAAGGAATGCATGGTTAGTGGGTTATCAAACTCCTATGACTTTTCACAGGAAAAGGCCTTGTGCACACCAACTTTAGGAATGTGTAGAAAGAAGGGTCGGGACAGGGGTGGGGTGGTGGGCAGAGCAGTTGGGGGGCACAGGGAAAACGCATCTGGTCATGTATTTGGAGCAGGAAGTCTTGCTTTACTATTGAGTTGCAGGGACACTCCGGGAACAGTGTTCACTTATTTTTGCAACCATTTCTTCAGACGAAAGTCATGAGACTCAAGTCTTCTTACAAAGCAGTTTGAGGCTTTGAGGACCAGATGGATTATAGAGATGAGTAGAAGCATTATTGTTGTATTTTTTTAAGTGAAATTCACTAAATGCAAATAAACCTAGCAAAGACTCTCTGGTTAATTTTCTTCTAAAATTCAGATAATTAAGACAATTCATTCTCCCGAAACTGCTGTGCATAAAAAGAAAAATTTTATCGAGGTGGCCCTTGAGTGCCAAATGGTCTGTACTCAGCTGCAAAATGAGTCATTGATGACCCTCCAGCAGCTCAGCAATGGATGCCTTTTAGCTCAGGTGGTGACTGCTGCACGTGAGATACGTCCGGCAAGTATCTGCTGAGCTAATAATAAACAGCCTCAGGCAGAAAGACAGCGGGCATTGGACAGCCTGTGGCGCAAGGTCATGCTTAAAAAGACCCCTTGGGCCGGGCGCGGTGGCTCAAGCCTGTAATCCCAGCACTTTGGGAGGCCGAGGCGGGTGGATCACGAGGTCAAGAGATTGAGACCATCCTGGTCAACATGGGGAAACCCTGTCTGTACTAAAAATACAAAAAATTAGCTGGGCATGGTGGCGTGTGCCTGTAGTCCCAGCTACTCAGGAGGCTGAGGCAGGAGAATTGCCTGAACCCAGGAGGCGGAGGTTGCGGAGATCCGAGATCGCGCCATTGCACTCCAGCCTGGGTAACAAGAGCGAAACTCCATCTCAAAAAATACAAAAAGAGACCCCTTGTTCCACTGCATCCCAACTCCCCATCCTGGGGCCTCACAGGCCTTGGTGAACACGCGCATCAGACCTGGTTCTTGCTCAGTCCTGGGGGCCACAGAACCCAGCAGATACTTTACCCCCAAGACCAAACTCCAACTTGGCTTTTGTCCTCCTCTCCAGGATTGGTGACCTCCAAGGTCATGAGGCTGTGATGGGCAAGGACCCACTCCTCTCCATCCTCCCACCTTCAGGTCTCTGACAGTGGGAGCAGACATTTAAATAGTAGACTACCGGCCGGGCGCGGTGGCTCAAGCCTGTAATCCCAGCACTTCGGGAGGCCGAGGCGGGTGGATCACGAGGTCAACAGATCGAGACCATCTTGGTCAACATGGTGAAACCCCATCTCTACTAAAATTACAAAAAATTAGCTGGGCACGGTGGTGCGTGCCTGTAATCCCAGCTGCTCGGGAGGCTGAGGCAGGAGAATTGCCTGAACCCAGGAGGCGGAGATTGCGGTGAGCCAAGATCGCGCCATTGCACTCCAGCCTGGGTAACCAGAGCGAAACTCCGTCTCAAAAATAAATAAATAAATAGTAGACTACCCACAGCAGGGCTGGTAGATGAGCAAACTCAGGAAGGTGCCTGCATCGACTCTAGTGTTAAACACAGAATTCTTACAGGGCACCCGCAAAGTTACCTAACTGCTGACTCCACCAGACATAGAAATGTGGTAACCCGCTAACCATCATTCTGGCTCTCTCTCTCTCATATACATTTACACACATATACACACAATCTTGTTGCTTACTTGTCAGACAGTCTACTTTCAGAAAAGTTTTGAGGAATACAGCATGTATAAAACTGAGAGATTACCTGAAGTATTTTTAGATTTAGTAAAAAGCTGCATGATTTTTTGAACATCACACTTGAAAAGTACATGAATACAGATATGCTTAGGAAAAGAAGCTTCAATTAACTTAAAAAGGAGAAGAATGCTATATGCTGTATCCCACCTTTCTCTGAATGTTACATTTTCTCCCCTATCCCAGGCTGCGTCTAAGAAAACAAAAAGGAAATATGCTATGTATCTTTTCCAAGCAGTGAAAGCTCTGGGTTTCCCCCTGTTTTCAATGCACAATGCTTCCCTTTCTTACTGGTCAGACAGGATAGGTTCTGAGTCCCCTGGTATCATCAGCTTACATAGTCTCTCTGTTAAATGTTCACAAAAATCACTACCTTTCACGCCTCGGCAAAACCTCTACTGCGTAAAATGTAGTGAGGTCATTCGTTTTAGGAGGAACTGCCCCAAGTGCAGTGGGCAAAGAACCACCGTGTTGGACTATTTATCTAATTTTCATTTAGTTCTGGGATTTAAATAAGTGATTCCATACATACAAACATATGTATGTAATAACAGCAGCAGCCTGTGAAACGTTGGCAGGACACTGGAGTTGAAAGGGGACTTTGCAGCCCTCCAGTTTCCTATCACAGATTAGACAGCTGGGGCGTGTGCAGGTGACTCTTTGCAAACGGTCCTGAGTCTTCCAGGTTATATCTTCATTCACAGCCAGTGCTGACTGCAGAAGCAAATATGCAAACATGTGCAAGAAGAAATCATACATCCTGGGGCTTGGATTTCCTCCTCTCTTGCTGTTTCTATCCGTAGACAGAACCGTTGCTGAGCTATTGAATTTGTCTCCTTCCCCCACACCAGTCTTGAAAAGGGAAAGGAAGTGAAGAGAAGAAAAAGAAATTAATAAAGCCAACAGACCCTAGGAGAATCGTATTGAATCCCAGCTTTGTAAAGTTTTGCTTTATTCCATGGCAACATGTGTATACACATCCCGCCGATGTTTCAGCGGCTCAGAGCAGGTAAGGCTTGTGCCAAATGCCGCTAGCAGGAGGAGCATGGAGACAGCCGCAGAGCTAGAACATGGGCCCTTCCTTGGCCCAGTGTCTCAGGACCTGCCTAAAGCCCAGCCCTGACACTGAGCGCGCTTCCGCCACCCTTATATAAAATTGTGTTTTCTCTATTCTCTTTTTATTATTCAGAATCCTCAAGAAATACATAAAGTTCTTTCAGAAATATTTTGTTCTGAAAAGAGGACTAAAACAGATGGCCTGAGTGTGTTAAGCACAGCGACCAGACAATCGTCTGCCTCTCCACCTGCCCTGCCTTCACCGGCAGAATCGTAATCCATCGTGTTCTCTGTTCAGTGTCAACGCACCTTTCAGAGCATGAGGCTCTTCCCTTCTAGGCGGTCTTACCAGGATGCATGTACGTGCCTGCATGTACACACGCGCAGCTCCCCAGGACTCTAAAAAAAGATACTTTTCTGCTTTAATACTAATAATATGTGAGAGATTTGTGTTTCCAGAATTGCATGGTTCTCTCCAAATTGTACTTGAGAGAGAAAGGAAAGAACAAAATTTATTTTACAAAAATACTCAGTACACTTAGGGCACATACGAAGATGTTCCAGAACATGGTTTATCTCTTTAAAGACAATTAGCCCAGTTTTCTGGGCAAGGCAAGGCAAAATATTCAGTAACTTAGCAACACCAACAGAAGACAGCCAATATTGCAGCACATTTTTCTCTTGGATCGGGTCAGAGAGTACTGCAGAGAAAACGGAGTAGTCAGAGCTGAGATGCTTCCGCACTCACTGGGGTCAGTGCAGCGTTCAGCGTGTGCCACGATAATACCAGAAACTCCCCGGCCAAGGCCTTGGAATCCAGCTCTCATTTTGTATGTGACCTGCAGGGAAGTAAGTTAAATGCATACCTTTCATCAAGTTCAAATGCAAACTTAATTTTAAATGCATGTAACATCAGTTTAAGTGTCGTAGCTATTACTAGCAAGGTAAGATGGGACCGTGTTTTTCAAGGTACTCTGCACAAACTTTGGTGCAGATGACCTACTCAAGGTGGATTTTAGAGCTTTATTTGCGGCATTATATCACGGACAAAAGCACGTTCATCAGAGTCAGAGGAATGTGGTGCAAATGCCAGCTGTCCCACTTACTGGCTGTGGGACTTGAGTAAGCTCCTAAAGCAGCTGCACCTGCCTTTCCTGCTGGGCACCGTGGAGCTAGTTTTCTCAGAGGGCTTCGGGCTGGATGGTTTGCTGGTAGATGTGAAGTGTCAAGCATCGCTTTCATGAGTGGTGGTGCTGATGGTGTTTCATTCTTTAGGGAGGTGATTTCCCCTGCAAAGGCACCAACAGTTTCATGTTGGCCCATTTTTCTATTAATTGTTTCAACTAATAGGACCAAGAGTGGTTGTCCCATCATTTTATTACTGCTGGTTGTACCACAAGCATTTGCTTCGTTGTGTTTAGGTAAATATTGACAGATGCTTTTGACAGTCTGCTGTTTTGTCTGCTTTCAAGGTCCTTAAAGTAATCCCTAAAAAGATGACAGTGCTGACAGAAAGATGTCTGGAGTCAGTGACCCCGTGTTCTTCCCTGCGTGCCCATCACTTTCTAAAACGTCACATTCAAAGGACTTTCATGATTTCTTTTTAGGTATGTGGTGACAGTTCAGTTCGCTTCACTGTCTGGAAAATTTCCTTATAATCAGGATGAAATTTTTCATGTTAACATCTCATGTCTCATTACTTTTAGGTAAGGAATTCTCAGGCTTTGCTATATCTGATTGCTCTTGGAGGCTGAGCTTTTGGCTAACTACCTGACCGGTTTTGTCATTTCTCTTCCCTTGGAATGAAGCAATATCTGACTTCTCATCGTTTCTGCTATTTTGCCATTTAGTGATCTGTGATTTTGCTAAATACTGAAGGACTTCTCCCAATTCGAATACGTGCTGAGTCACGGAAAGGGCAGTTGGATATTGCAGACAGCATAGTGCAGTAGTTAAGAGTGCATGCTTACCAGCAACACCACCTTGCACAAGTTGTCAAGCCTCTCAGCCCATTTCCTCAATCTGTAAATTAAGTGTAAGTGTAGAACCTTCCTAGGAGAATTTTTTTGTGAGAATAGAATGACTCTCAGAAAGACTTTCCCTTAGTCTGTGGCAGGGAGGCACACACTGGAAAGGCTTCTGCAGGTGCCACGATCAATGCTGTTCTCAGTGTATACATCCCATAATAGACACGTTACCAGAAACTCCCTGGCCAGGACTTTGATTGCAGCTCACATTTTGTATATGGCCCATAGGGAAATGAAGTGTGTAGTTTTTATAAAGTCGAAGTGTGAACTTAATTTTGAATTTACTATCAAATCTCAGTTTTTATGGGCATTTATAGCTATTAATACTTCATCCCCTGTGTCCCATGCCAAGGAACAGAAATTAAAGTTCTTTCTGGTGTCCCCTGAATCCCGTTCCTGTTCTTTTGCCACCCTGTTAATTACATAGAGACATTCACACCTCTTTGGATGTTATCAGCGTTAAGGAAAACAGAAAAGCCAGTGTGGTATTTGTTCTGTCCCTTAGTCAAGCGTCAGGCCTTATCAACATATATTTTTCTTCCAAGACTTTGCATATGCACAGGGATGCCTATCCACTACAAGAAATACATTTAGGCAAATTATAATTAAAATGCCGTTTACATCTCTTCACCTTTAGAATTTAAAGAATGATCATTTCTTAGATTAAGTCTCAGCCACACCCTTCCCCTGGTCTGCAGAGGGCAAGGCCCGTGGTCAGGGATGGTTCTCAGTGGCTCATCCAGCACATCAGCCTCATGACGGCAAAGCCACATTCTGATACCCCTGCTGTGCTCTGGCTCATTCTAAGGTACATGCTATTAACCTTGCAAGAAAACAAAGAGGCCACCCCACCCTTCCTGCTCACTCTGAGTCACGGTGAAAATGTTTCAGGAACTCTGTTTCAACCATGAGTCCCGTCCAGGTCCAGGAAGAAATTCAGAAGGACCACTTGTTCACTCTGAGGTCCCATTTTTATTTCCCTCCTGGTGGAACAGCATTAATACTCTTGCTATATTTAAATTCTGGCTTTCTCCTATTAGAACTGAAAGTGATGATAATGTTATCAAAATAGAATGTGGGTTTACAGCTGACCCCCTGGCTTGGTTTGTATACATAAAATAGAAACAGAAAGTGTAAGTAGTGACATCACATTCTCTCATTCAATGTGAAAGGCCGCCAAAGTCTTTCCAGAATTATTTAATTATTTTAAATATCATCTCGCCTGTTCCCCAAACACCTACTGTTTCCACTTGGGTTATGACATGATTAAAGAATTACTACTTGTGAGTGCAGACTTTAATCTAATAAACTACTATTGCAAGTACCGACTCATGAAAGTCAAAGGACTTTTAAGTCAATTAGTAAGCAAATCAATTAGCTGGCAAAGTCAAGATTATTTTTTCTTCTGGTAGTTGAAGAATAATGCTGAACTTGTCATTCTTATTACCAGGCGAAGTGTTCTCTTTGGAAGGTCATGTCAACAAAACATTATTTTTCATCCAGAATTTGAACCTTGAGATTGTATGGTATTTAGAAACCTTTGGCAAAGGTTATTATTAAAACAATCACATTAATGGAAAATCAGTATAAAAGCAACTCACAAGAATTCACAGTACCAGTAAAATCACTTTGTCATCTTCTTAAGACTTTTAAAGAGCTTTGGGAAGTAACTGAATACAAGGCCAAAGGGTGTGTAGGTAGCTCAGACCATCAGTGGGTGGCCAGGGCCAGGGCAGGGGCCGCAGCTGCAGTCTGCATTCTTCTAAAGGGCAGAGCAAATTAAAGTTGAACCAGGAGCTAAAAAAAAAACAAGAGTGTTTCAAATAATTCCACCAACCAGAGGATACGATCTGGAACAGTTTGGACCTCACTTGCCTGTGAAGGCGTCCAGGTTCCTCCGCACCTGTGGCCACCTTTCATTCACTCCGAGCCCTTTTCTTTGTATGGAGGTCATTTTATCAATTGAGCTGTGACCACCACAGCAGGATTTCCTGTTTTAGGGCTCTTATAATATCAATAGTTTATATCTAATTCCAGAATATATTCACTGGAGATTGGACTTAGCAACCACCACCACAACAACGCAACGATGTGTTTTGGGACAAATTTACCAATCCGAATTTCCCCGCAGATTAGGTCACAGGAACATTGCAGCTGAGGCACAGCTATGCTCCTCCTGAATCTTGGAGACTCATCCTCTTGAGCTGGGTTATAAAGGACCACCTGAAGCTTGAGTTCCTGTAATGGATTCTCTCAGGCAGCGGAACCCACCGCCGTAGTGAGGACAGTGCCCGGAGCCCTCAGAGGCCATCACAAGTGCACCACAGCTGCCTTCTCTGGCACGCTCGGAGCTACACAGTGTACTCTGGGATTGGAACTCTTTATTTTTTTTTTTCAGTTGGTTTGTAAATAGGATTGCACAAAAATTCATGCACATCAACTCTCCAAATCAGAATTTGCTGAGCTAAAAAGAGCATTAAATTAGATGGGCTGGCTTTCAAATGGTGGGGGTGCAGTAGTGGAATTCTGCACACAGTTCTTTACAAAGAGACAAGCAAGCACATCGCGTGGAAATTTCCATTCAACTGGAAATGTCCAAGCCTGTTTACCTCAATTAATTGTCCTTGTTCACTTGTCCAGCCCAGTAATTGTCCATTAGTAATTAGTTATAAATGAGACGTTTGGTATTAAAGCATCTCTTTTGAGATACTGGTATGGTTTATTACAACACTCTATAAGTAGTATTGTACCAGCTTGAGATGTATTAATACTCAGTCCAAGCTGCACGAGGGCTTTATTAGTTTTTCAAGTGCTACACCTTGCTAAAATTCTGAATTAAAATATGAATCTCAGCACAAATGAATAAATCAACAGAAATAATGCACGTCAAATATTCTTAAAACCCAAGAAAGCCTTGTAATTTCCTTCAACCTGATGGGAAATGCAGGCAAATACAAGACTGATGTCCTTGAGTTTTATTATCAAGACTCAAGGGCACCATAAAATTTAGTTTCATTGGTTGGAAAAGAATCCTGATAAGCACTGTTAAGCATATGAACTTCAATGATCACAATTTTTAGGACACTGTGTGGCACAGACTGAGGAACACAATTAATGTCCAGAGAAAGACTCCTTTTTTCATTCCATCACCTGGTAGACCTATTTGTGCACACACACACTAACCAAAAGTAGCCAAGGAAACAAAACACACGTACTCACACCCTTCGTCTAGGTGACTCTCCGTGCTCCTTGCAATAAAACCTACTTATTGTGGATGGCTCCCGCCCCCACTGAGGAGCACTGTAGTTTCTTTAGTTGAGCATATGGCTCATTAACTTGTGAAGAGTTCTTTGTATGTGAGAATATATATATATATATATATATATATATATATATATATATATATATATATAATTTCCATCAGAGCTCTGACCACCCCCTTATCTATTTTCATAATGCCAGATACTCTATCGTTAGCAGTTATCATGTAGGCTATCAATAAATAAATAAAACAGTGACAGAATGAGGGAAATTGACTAGCAGCCAAGGACCTAAGCCATCCTCTGCCTGAACATTTGAAAACTGAGTTCACTACTGTCATAGGATATACAAAGGCAGAATGTAAGTCATACAAAAGTCCATGGCAATCCCAATAGGTGAGTACAACTATTGAACACCATGTACTAATGCATGCGTTGGTAAATCATTCAGTGTCTTGGTGAGGTCAATTACAGATTGTTATTTAGATCTCAAAGATTCCAAAGACGATATTTGGGCCAGATCTTCATTCTTTGTAAACCTAGGAGAAAATATGGCAGTTTTATTGAATAATATTCTGTGCTAGTTGTAGTATTTTTAAGCCAAGGCATCAGTGTGCCTAGCACAGGGCCTCATGCACACAGAAAAATTTCTTGATAGTCATTAAATAAAATTTCAGCAAAAATATCATATTAAGGCTGTAAAATTATCTTCCTGTGTCACTAACATAGTGAATAAATATTCAGCACAACATAAATCATAGTACGATTTCATCACCGGATTTTCTGATCTTGGTCTTGTCATTTTACTTAGGAAGTAAAAATGTGTCCTCCATTTTTTCTCTAGCACTGCAAAGTGTGTGCGTTTTGCATGCCCTTTTGTACACCCTGCCTCACACTTGCTGGTCTAGTTCCTTCCACCTTGATCATGATAAATGACAGAAATGTTTACTTCCAAGTGGAACTAAGCCAGGATAACTCAGGGTAGGGCAGCTACTCGCAACGAAAGACCAAGACTGCTGGAGAACTAGGAAACAGGCGGTGCGAGAACTCCAGGCCCTCATGGAAGAGTGGGGAGGGAGTGGGGGCTTCTAAGGAGCTACAGAAACTCTTTGGTGCTCGAGAAGAAAAAAATGGGTTAAATGCCCAATAAGCAAGAAACCTGGGAGAGATTGTTTCCGGATGGAGTCCTGTCTTTTCTTTTAAATTGAGGCAGTTCCAAAGAGCTGGACATTGAACCCTGAGCAGGAACTGGACACCGTTGGCGCGGCTTGTTAGGCGAGTGGAGCTTTGCAGAGTGTAATGCTGCACAGGGAGACGCTATCTGCAGGCACTGGCGGCGCCTGGGTGTGGAGGGGGAGGCAGGGGCTGGCGCTCTTGGGGTAAAGTACGCCCAGGAACAGGTTAGAATAACGTTCGGGTGTATGTGTCCTTATAGTAGAACGATTTATAGTCTTTTGGATATATACCCAGTAATGGAATTTGCTGGGTCAAATGGAATTTCTATTTCTAGGTCCTTGAGGAATCGTCACACTGTCTTCCACAATGGTTGAACTAATTTACACTCACACCAACAGTGTAAAAGTGCTCCTATTTCTCCACATCCTCTCAGCATCTATTGTCTCCAGATTTTTTAATGATCGCCATTCTAACTGGCGTGAGATGGTATCTCAATGTGGTTTTGATTTGCATTTCTCTAATGACCAGTGATGATGAGCATTTTTTCGTATGTTTGTTGGCTTCATGTTCATTGCAGCACTGTCTACAATAGCAAAGACTTGGAACCAACCCAAATGCTCATCAATGATAGAGTGGACAGGGAAAATGTGGCATATATACATCATGGAATATTATGCAGCCATCAAACACAATGAGTTCCTGTCCTTTGTAGGGACATGGATGAACCTGGAAACCATCATTCTCAGCAAACCGACACAAGAACAGAAAATCAAACACCGAATGTTCTCACTCATAGGCGGGTGTTGAACAATGAGAACACATTGACACAGGGAGGGGAGCATCACACACTGGGGTCTGTGGTGGGGGGGAGGTTGAGGAGAGAGATCATGGGGAGAAATGCCAGTTATAGATGAAGGGGAGGAAGGCAGCAAATCACACTGCCATGCGTGTACCTATGCAACAATCTTGCATGTTCTTCACATGTACCCCAAAGCCTAAAATACAATTAAAAAAATAATTTTTTTTTTTAAATGAAACACTAAAAAATAAATAAATAAATAACGTGGGCGAGTCAGAGGCAGGGAGAAGCTCCTGCAGACCCTCGGGGCTCTGTGCGGGGCTTCTCCTGTCCACCTTCCGTGTTCCTGTCCTGGGGTATTTGGGTGTGTGGCATGTGGGGTGGGGAGGAGAAGCAGGGCAGCAGCGAGGGGATGAGGACCGCCCAGTCCGTGGGACAGGCGCTGGCCCCACACACACCCCGAGCCCCACGTCCCACGTCCGCACTGTCCCGGGACCCCCACAGCCCACGGCGGTGCGAGGAGACCCCTCGAACAGCTGCACCTTAAGGCTCCAACGCCATCCCTGGGGTACTACGCCACACAGAGGCACCCTTTTTCACTTTGCGTTCGTCACTCCTAAAGCACGTGTGCCGGCTGCACCAACCCAGGGATGCCTCGGTGCAGGGGGTCTACGCCTGTCCTCCTTCTGTCCGAGCAGGTCCCAGAGGGGAACTGCTGCCCAGAGTGACCAGTGTCCTTCCACACACGCAGGAACATGTCCAAGTGCACTTGTCAGTGTGGGGGCCACCCATGCACCACCACTGATCATCTGCGGGGTCGAGCATTGCCCATGCAGGCCCCAGGCACAGGGGCCGGTCGCTTTGGTGAGAGTGTGGACGCCGTGGTGACTCCACGGCCTGGGGCTGTGCTCAGGACAGAGAAGGGACATCCTGAGACAGTTTGGGCAGCCCGCGGACCCTGTGCATGACCTCGGTGCCTGCGCCTTCTCCGTGTGGCAGCGTTCTGAGACAGAAGGTTCAGGGACTCCACCCCCCACACAGCCCCCACGCCCCTGTCTTTGGCCGGGCACGCGTCTCGGGTGGAAACTCCAGGAGCCCCGGCCCTCCAGACCTCTTTCCCCTCCTCAGGGAGCAGGCAGGTGCGTCTATTCCTTTTGGCTTCAGAAGGGAAAAGAGAACCTAAGTTCAGGGCGTTCTCGTCCATTCCTGTCTCATGCGCCGGACCCGCAGTAGGGTCAGCCTCCAGGAGGGGCCCGAGCTCCAAGGCAAGCACAGGCTGAGGCTGGTGGGAAAGCCCGGCTAAGGCTGGGCGCGGTGGGGGTGGGCAATCTTCTTACCAGGGGGCTCGAGATGGAGAAGGAGAGGTCAGAAGAGGAGCGGCCAGGCACGGGGTGTGGGAAGCCTGCAGAGCTGGAGCAGGTGCTGCGCCCAGAGCCAGGGATGCACACTAGAGAAGGCGAGGGGGGCGGGGCGGCCCCAGCTGTTGCTGCTGCTAAAGATGCAGGAGCTGGGCCTGCTCTGTGCGCGCTGAAGGGGTGGTGAGAAGCACTTACCAAAAGAAATGGACGGTGTTAGGATTGCACGTGTTACTTTGTTTCTCCCAAATCTATGTTTTCGAATTTTTTTCCTTCCAGGGCCACGATTGGAGTGGTGGCTGAGACAGGCACTCACTTGCCCGCATTTATTTTGATATTTTGTTCAGCATGCATTTTATGGCTTTCGTTTTGCTTTTGCAAAATACCACACTGTTTATCGTGATGGCAGAGTCCTTTGCTGCCCCCTTAAGTTTTGTGCCTAGGAACGTGACCCGCCCTAGGCCGGCCCTGCTGGCTTCATAGCTCTCATCATTCCCGAAAAGACGGAAAATACAGTCGTCTGTGAAAATACAGGGTCCTCCCACCCCAGGTGTCGCCCGCAGAGCCGAACACATGTAGGCGGTTGCCAGGAGGGGCATTTGTATGTTCTGAGCATTCCTTATATTCTCAATATGACGCCTTTGTCAGATCTGTGGTTTGCAAATATGTACTCCCAGTCCATAGCTTATCTTGCCAACCTCTTACCAGGCTCTTTTGCTGAACAAAAGTTTTTAATTTTGAAGACTAATATATTTACAATTTTTTCCTTTTATGGAGCATACTTTTTGTTTCAGGTTTGAGAATTCTGCACCAAAGTATGCCCTGTGGTTTTCTTTTAGGTCCTCT